AACGGAATTTTGGAATCAATTCCAGAATGAGGACCCCTATTAATGACATAACAAGCTGTTAACACAGCTTCACTCCAGTACCTCCTCCCAAGCCCTGCATTAGAGAGCATGCATCGAACTCTCTCTAGCAGTGTCTGATTAACCCGTTCTGCTACACCGTTCTGCTGTGGTGTCTTCCTGACAGTATGATGCCGACCTATACCCTCATCTGCACAGAACTGATTAAACTCGTCTTTGCAAAACTCTAGCCCATTGTCCGTTCGTAGCTTCTTGATCTTCCTTCCTTGTCGATTTTCCACCAAAGCTTTCCATTGCTTGAAAACTTTGAAGGCCTCATCCTTTGACTTAAGCAACCTAAGCCATGTGTATCGGGACTTGTCATCAACAAATGACACAAAATAGTGGTAACCTCCCATACCTTCAACTCTAGATGGACCCCAGCAATCTGAATGGATGTAATCGAGCACTGCATCAGTAATGTGAGCACCCTTGCTGAACTTTGACCTGTGTTTCTTACCAAACACACAATGCTCACAAAATTCAAGGTTGGCAACCTTGACCCCGGATAGAAGACCCCTCTTGGACAATAGCTGCATCCCCTTCTCCCCCATATGACCAAGCCTCATGTGCCAAATCTTAGTCATCTCCTGGTGAGATACAGATGCGCAAACCGCAGAACTAGGCAGTGTAACACCCTCAAAAACATAGAGGGTGTTCCTTTTGATACCCTTAAGTACCAACTCAGAACCTCTGAAAATACACAACTCCCCATCTGAAAACACACCATTGTACCCCAAGTCATCCAGGGTACCCAATGAAATCAGATTCTTTCCTAAAGCAGGAACATGCCGTACATTAGTCAAAGTTAACCTCCGCCCATCAACAGTCCTCAACCTCATGGAACCAATACCTGTGACCTTACATGGAGCATTGTTACCGACTATAACCATACCCCCATTGCGAGGTTCATATGTATCAAACCAATCTCGACGTGGACACATATGGAACGAACACCCCGAATCTAGAACCCAGTTATCAGATAAATTATCAGACCTAGCAGAACTGACTAATGCTAAATCTTCCTCTGAATTATAGCTCTCATTCGGTTTCTCTTCAACTACAGCAGCCTGGGACTTGTTTTTCCTCACCGGACAATTATTCCTAAAGTGACCCGGTTCTTTACAGTAATAACATGTTTTAGTAGTAGTTTTACTAGATCCATCCTTGCCGTTTCCAGCACCCGACCCAGCATTGTTCCCCTTGTTAAACCCCTTATTCTTTTTAGACTTTCCGGACTTAACAAATAACCCACTACCATTATCCCCATTATCACTCGTAGCTTTCATTCTGAGTTCCCTAGTATGAAGTGCTGCCTTCACTTCTTCTAAGGTTATAGAATCCTTACCAACAACAAAAGACTCTACAAAATTCTCAAAGCTAGACGGTAGAGATACAAGTAAAATCAACGCAGCATCCTCATCATCAATTTTAACATCTAAATTACGTAAATCAAGCAAAATAGAGTTAAGTTTTTCTAGATGTTCCCGTAAGGAAGTACCTGACTGCATCCGGAGGCTAAACAACCGCTGTTTCAGTAATAATTTGTTGGTCAACGACTTAGTCATATACAATGACTCCAGCTTCAGCCACAATCCAGCCGCCGTTTCCTGATCAGCAACCTCCGTGATGATTTGATCATCAAGACTAAGTAATATGGTAGAGTGTGCCTTCTCTTCCATAACTTCTAACTGCGAGTCAGTCGGTCCGTCTCCTGACTCCGAAGTAGTACTCTTTGGAGCCAACGGACGCCATATCTGCTGTTGTTTTAACAGAGCCTTCATCTTAATTTGCCATAGCCCGAAACTATTTTTCCCGGTAAACTTCTCAATTCTTATTGTTGAATCTCCTGCCATTGTTATCTTCAAGAAACTCTCCAAGGATTGAACCTGAGCTCTTGATACCAATTGTTGTGCGACAGCGGAAGCAAAGGTCGAAAACAAACAAGAAAACAATAAAGAAATTCAATGCAAACAATAAGAACAACACCAAGAAGTTACGTGGTTCACTATCGATGTGATAGCTACGTCCACGGGCACCGAGATCGAATGATTTCACTATAAACTGCAAAGATTACAAAGATGATTCTTGTATTTCTCAAGAACGGCTCTCACTCTGTCTCTCTTCACCCTAATACTGATATTAGGGAGGTTTTATATTAATCCCTAATTAAAAGATACTTGGGCAAAAAGATAATAAAATAAGATAACCTAAAACCGCAAAATCCGCGTTCCGTATTTTTCCTTCTCCGCCCGGTCAGACCGGGCAAGGTCTGCCCGATCGGGCGCGAGAAGAAAACTCCATACGAATGCTTCAACGTATCCAACCCCCACCGCCCGGTCAGACCGGGCAAGGTCTGCCCGATCGGGCGAAGGCTCGCCCGGTCGGGCGAAGGCTCGCCCGGTCGGGCGCGAGAGCAGCTTCTTCAACGAATTTGCCAGGCACCTCTTCTTCTTCCGCCCGGTCAGACCGGGCAATGTCCGCCCGATGGGCGGACAAAGCTACGAAGTACGAGTCACCTAATATACTTATCAACACAAGGCTTCACTCTTTTTTCCTTTGTCTTTTAGTTCTCTATAAAGTGTTTCATATACAATTCTCCACCACCAGATGTTGCAAGTTGTAACTTGAAATCGTGGGTCTTGTTCTTTTACTTTGTCTTGGAAAAGCAAGTGATCCCCTCCCTTTCACAATTATATTTACTAAAATGACACACTTCTTTGTAATATTGGCGGACAGACTAACTACTCATAGTTAGATATCTAGCCAACCTCGACAATGAAATTTTTAGACTTCCACTTGCCAAAATGTCAATACTAACACATTCAATACTACTTACACTTCATCATCAAAACAACTAAATGAGAATAGTGTCGTTTAGCTTAATTAAGAATATTCAAGGGTAGAATTTAGGATCTAATAATTGAATCACATATCCAACCGCCATTGATGTCGTTGAGCTTACTATAGACCCCAAAAAAATAATTTCCCCATCCCTTGTCAGATTAGTCAAGGATAACTCTTTTCCACAGATAATAACTTTTGACCAAACCGCACATAAAGCCACTTACTCATCAATTATTGTTGTGATCAATCCAAAAGAAATACTAGCACTATATATATCTCACTTCTCATCTACTATAACAATTGCATACCTTACTAACCTATACATTTATTAAGGCAAAATAAGATAAGAAAGAAAGCAGAGATGGTTTCATCCCCAATTACTGATCTTCTGAAGAATCAGCTGCCTCTTGAGCAGGAAACTCTAGAGCTTAGCGAAAACGTTCGCTATGGTCTGGTTCTTGTAGACATCATCAATGGTTTCTGCACCATTGGAGCTGGCCCTTTGGTAACTTCAATTAGTACTCTTATATTTCCTGATATGATCATATCCTAAAATTGAATCAATATTTGATCATATAATATAATATGCTCATATATTTTATTGGGTATTTTCACTTTTCAGGCTCCTGCAGAACATAATCAGCAAATGTCAGACATGATCAATGAAGCAGAGAGGCTAGCAAGGCTTTTCTGTGAGAAAAAGTGGCCAATAATGGCCTTCATTGATTCTCATCATCCTGATGTACCTGAGCATCCCTATCCTCCCCACTGCTTGGCTGGATCAGAAGAATCAAATCTTGTTTCTGGTAAAAAAAAATTTTAAGTATAATACTCCTTTCGTCCCAAAAGTATCATACATGCATGTTCCTGTAAACGCAAGTATAATACTCCCTCCGATCCCAAAAGGTCAAAAGTACCATATATGATATATTTATATGTTCCTGTGAGCCTATATATCAGTATTGAGTTGTATATTTGCTTCTGCTGCTGCAGCTTTGAGATGGCTAGAGGAAGAATCAAGCGTGACAATTAGGCGTAAAGACTGTTATGATGGATTCATAGGCTCCATCCAAAATGATGGCTCTAATGTCTTTGTAGACTGGGTGAAATCCAACAAGATTGAATCGGTAAGCTCTAACACTATCTTAATGTTAACGGGCATACAAATTATATCAAATCTAAATTTGACAGTAGTTCATTCTTCTGTTTTTGGTTCTTGAAGCTATTGGTAGTCGGAGTATGCACAGATATTTGCGTGCTGGATTTCGTCTGCTCAACATTATCAGCAAAAACTAGAGGTTTTCTCTCTCCTTTAAACGATGTGGTGGTTTACTCTAATGGCTGCGCCACATTTGATTTTCCCGTCGAAGTTGCTCAAACTAGTAAACATGGTTTTGCTCATCCACAGGTAAAATACTAATACTCCTCAATCTCCAAATAAGTCTTAATAACTTCATTGCTGGATAAAAGTCCCTTATCTGGGACAGAGTAGTTATTTGAGTCACATGAGCACCAATTGTACGAGTAATACATTTTTCAGCTTACACTCCAAATATTGTTGAATCTTCTATATTTACAGCAGAACTTAAACATCACTGATTTGGTTACAGGAGATAATGCACCATATGGGGCTATACATGGCTAAAGAGAGGGGGGCAAAGATTGTGAGCAGCGTGTTAGCAAGAGGACCATGAAAGCAAGAAAGCGTCGAGCTTAAACCCAAAATTTGAATTCCAAAAACCACTTATTTTGTTTCTATATCACACTATCACTTAATGTATAAGTGAAATTAAGCACCCAGACTATTTACTCAAACATCAAGTATTACTGTATTAGTATCAAAATTTTATTGTCCAGTCTGCTAAAATATAAATCTTGTCCAGTTGTCCTTCAGCAATACTTTAATTCTCCAGGCAAATTATAGTTCAAAGGTAAACTTGTTGTGAGTCTCACCCATGAATTGGATGAGACAATCTCATTCAAGATAAGCTGTTTTCATTAATATCGTCTCATAAGCTTCTAATTTACAGGGGTTCATGTAAGCAAGCAGACTATGACAAGTCCTAACGGCCACAGGAGTCAGGAGATAGTGAAGCTATAACAATTAACCAACAAGATTCTTGTATTAAGTCTCAAACTATACTTGTCACTAAAAAAATGCTGGTCTAAGATTTACAAGCATACAAAGCTCTCAAAGCCTAGAAACAGAAATTGCAGAACTAACAGCACCGATCTTTAAAAATCATGCATACAGCTACACAAACACAAATCATGCTACATTTATTAGCATATACAGACCATAGCACAAGTTTGTGAGCTGAAACAAGTATATTTACATGCATTTGCAGGGCAAATTTACCCATAAAAAACCGAGGTGCTGATAAGTCTCGTATAGTTTGAAGCCCTAGGAGATACATTCATCAGCCAAAATTGCTTATCGTCTGTCAGTGATGTCAGCATAGGAAATGTACCCTGCTACAAATACAATCCTTTGTGCTCCACAATCCAGAATGAAAGGCTTCTTACAAATAATTACCTAAAGCTGCAGAAAACAATAGGATAGAATGATAACACCATAGCTTGCAGATGAAACAGCTATAATCTCACCTGCATTTGAGCAGGTAACCAAAGTTAATGCAATACAATAGACACTTAACAAAAAAAGCATATCAGCGATTGTGTAGTATACTTTCAGCCTTTAAAAGAGTATCCTCCCTTGTTTTTGTATCAAACTTTGCAGATAGACGTAGGTGCCAATTACAGTTAGGAATAATAGAAATCATTGGACACAATGTTAGGTCATCCCATTCTCAAGAAGATAAAAGAATTAAGATGCAAAATTAGCAATATTTTTAATGATAAATGATCATAATTATTCCACTACTTAGATCAGCAGAAAATTTCACAATGAGCAGTGTATTAGTAACTTTGGTACTTTGGTTGTATACCCCCAAGTGAGACCCCCCCCCCCAACCACACACACACATACACCCAAAAAAATCAAGAAATACCCATTAATGATACTCAAGCCACATTTTTATTTTTTTCATCCCAAATTTTTTTAAAAATTCTCCATATTACCCTTAATGAAACTCTAGCAAGCAGAACTGTAGGCTGTAGCAGTATGGTGGAGAAGAATAATTAAACATAATGTAAACAGAGAAAAATAATTAGCAGGACTGGAGAAACAAGCAGTACAGGGTTCCTCACCTTTTGATCTCAGGAAAAAGACAGATCCAACTTCCATATACAAAAAACACCTATTCTTCGATCCTTAAGCGGTTGAAAAACACTAGGAATTGATACTCTGGAGCCCAATAGACAAATCCTACTACAGGCCCTCCCTTAATATACTGCAAAATTCCAGTAATTATGTTAATAGGCATTTTCAATAAGTGGCCACAGGATTTTCCTGTCCTGAAGCCAAGAATTGTAATTTTAAAAAGCAAGAAAGTGAGAATGGTAAAAGAACCTTTCCATCAAGAATAACAAGTTCACCATCAACCCATCTTGGATTTCTGAATCCTGGCTCAGCTAGCCTCCCTTGTCCTTTATACCGAGCAACCTGGTTCATCAAAAAAGGAATATTTGGCAAAAACTTGGTAACAGGACACTAAATAAATTGGTTAATGACCACCAAGTTTTTAATACGCACCACTCCAAATTCTTCTGGAATTATCCCTTTGTGAGGAAGCTGATAACTTTTGCCAATCTTCGCACGAAATGCAACCTGTAATATTGACTTGGCGCATTAAAGATTAATCTAAGAACAGATACACTTGAAATTTTAGGAGAGACTGCAAAGAATGAGTTTTAGACATGGGCTTAAAATAAGGAAGTGGTAGATGCTGGACAGCTGGAGGTAGTGATGGTGGTCGGCACAGAAAGGACCCTAATACGCCCAGCTAAGAGTTAATCATTTTATTGGCATTCTTGGGGAGGGGTAAGGACATCTGAGAAATTTCTGTTATCATTTTATCAATTTGACATAATAATTGTACAAAAGTTCAACGACTGAAATTACTATCTAACTATTTATCATATTGAAAATTGTGTGATTCATTTGGCAAGATAATAATTTGTATTAGATAAAATTCCTAGACTTGGTACCTATCATATTTACTGTACAAAAAAAAAAAAAAAAAAAAAAAAAAAAAAAAAAAAAAGTAGATTGACTCCCACTACTTCATGCAAATTGATCAAATTCTTTTCTTTTCTTTTCTTTTTTTTTTTTGTTTTTTTTCATTGGCCGGGTAAAGATGACCAGCCAAACTCAATCGGTATTAGCCCTTAATATATAAATTTGAAAACCATGCATTGCATGAGTACTATACCAGTAAGCATAACAGATTTGTACATAAGCCTAAACTACAAGATGCTACCTCTCCTTTTGAATTAGTCATAATTTACCCTACCCCATAACTACACAGAGATCTAAACAAGGCTTCCTCCAAGGGTGGAGTATAGGCATATCTAATCATGAACCAAAATAAAAAATTTACCTGACCAGCAGGCACATAAGGATCTCCTGTAAGCTTTACAGCCTCAACGTATTCATAGAATTGGAGATTTGAAGGCCCCTTGCTCCCACCATCCTCTTTCCATTGGCCAAATTTGCGTTTTAACTGGATGACTTCTGAGGTGTATGGTCCATGGGATCCAATATAAAGTCCTAATCAAAGAAAATATACTGAATATCTCCACAGTAAGTAAGGCTTGAATTTAGAGAGGAAAAGACTTTCTCAAGTGCCCAATAGTGACATATTATTTGTGACTAACATCATTACTTCATTAGTTAATAAGAAAGAACTTGTCCTGAATTAATCACCATTTAGGGGATCTGGATACGATGGTAAATCAATGCGATTGAATGTCGTAGATCCAGACAAAGGCTGGCGATTCTGAACTTGGTTCAGAGTGAGACTAATCAAATCTCCCACATCCTTAAGTACCTGCAATATTTCAGCATAGGCCATAGTTGTAAGTACTACTTGAAACTAATATCATAAAGATAAGACACCAGAAATAAACTCAAAAAGGAAATGAAAGTTTACCTTTACAGGTATTTTTTCTCCTCGGCTTATAGAATTGACAAGGTCAGACATTACATGGTCGATACTGCGCCGGCCTTTAGCATTTGCCTTTCTTTTAGACGAAGTCTGACCTTTTGTAACAGATTCTGGCTTACTTTTATCATCCTGTATACAGAAAGAAAAAGATTTGTGTCCCTTTGACTTGAGTTTTGCTGGAACACGAACAAGATCTTTAGAAGATGTTGTGCTGGATAGGTTCTCCACAAGACCACTAACTACTACATTGACAGCAATTTCACTTTGCTCTTCCTTATCTAGGTCACTGCTAGTAGGATCATCTTCATTATCATCCTTTTCTTCATCACTTTCTCCAGGAATATCGTCATCTGTATCTTCTGTGTCTATACTGTTCAACTCAGCCTCAATATCCTGATCTTCATCTTCTTCCTCTATTATCTGCTCAACCACCTTAGATATCAGATCTCGATCTACTTTTCCTGGTGCAGTTACTTTCAAGACTTTGACTCTTACACCAGGGATCATATCTTGTAATAAATTTTGGAATCCTGATAGTCCATCAGCTAACTCTGGATCATCTTTATCTTCATCATCATCATCAGTATCTTCAAGCACAGGAGTAAAAATATCAGTTTTCCCCCCTCCAGGACTCATTTTCATACTGCCTGGGGCAGCAGGCGACTTTGGGAACACTGATGGAAAAGTTTCAGGAACTGCTTTTCTCTTCAAGTATACAGCCTAAACAGATAAAGATTTACGAATAAGGTTCATATTTAAGAACATATACCTGCCCAAAATCAAAAGCAGGACTTGAAAAGAATATGTTTCACAAGTTCACAACAAAGTAAGTATATGATCAAAGGTCTTATAAAACTCAAGCATCAACTCTCAAGATATATAAACTCTATCAAACGCAAAATTATTTTAACTTGGTAAAGGGTTGCCTCTAACATATCAAGGCAAGGAATCTATCCCTTTCATAATTCTTCTTATAACCTTTCGTTTTACAAATGCAAATGCAACTAAGGATTATTCTCATTACACCACGACCCGGGAAACAATATCTTGCTTGCTTAAAACATCAAATGTTCTTCAAATAAAAAAGGATAAACAAGACAAAACAAACAAAATCAAATAAAATAATTCACCTGTTGTCTGTAGTCACCTTCCTTGTTCAGTGTTACATAGATCTCAAACAAGGGAGCACCAGCAGTTGATGTAGCTAGCTGCCTGAAATAAAGTGATTAGCCCTACAGAAATAGTGGCTAAAGCTGTTCCCATATTGGGCTAGTCGACAAATAATCCTAATATACCGGAGGGAAAAAAAAAGGCAAAATATAACATGTTCTCCACTTGAGCACATGTCACAAAGTGGATATGAAATGGTTCATGAGGCTATGAGCTCCTCATGTTTAATCCTAAACGCATCTATGAAGCTTAAAGAGATATATTCATCACTGTGAACTTTGGAAACATAGTTTAAGAATGGAAACATATTGGGCAGGTAACAATCAGAATAATTGGAGCCTAAAGCTTTCCCAAACTCTTGTCTCCCAATAAAAACCTGGAACAGAGTAATAAAAGGCTTGCAAGACGATATGGTCAAGCATTTTATTTGTCTAGGTGAGGTGATTTAAAGGAGACGCAACTATGCACACACCTTTTTTTCAACATTTTTTTAATTTTTGTTAAGTGCAGCTTGCTTAAGCGTAGATAGATCCCTTTCACAGTATCATCTTAGTGCGCAGCCTTCCGATACATTTCGCTATAGAAAATTAAAAGCCCCAGCCCAAAAAGTAATTCATTATTTTGTTGATTATTCAGCTGAAAATATCACTAATAGCAAAGCACTTTCCACCTGTTCCCTACTACTAGCATAAAACTCACATACCCTTCCTCTGCTTCGACATGGGCAGCCAATGTTGCCCAAATAGATGCCTAATTGAAGACTACTTCCTAGTCCCTTTTCTCTTGTACGTTGCTTCAGACACTACCAACAGATAGTAAATAAAGTTAATCATCCAAAATCCCACAGCATAAATTGAATAACCTAGATATAAACAGGATCGGAAGGCACGAGCCCACCTAAGGGAAACCAACAGTCAAGCAGAGAAATGATTGAGATGAGATAACACTCTAACATTAAGAAACTAGATCAAAGGATTCTGAGGGAAACACAACATAGTTAAAGCTATAACAATTTGTCTGAAGGGAACTAATCAACAAGAATAGACAAGAATTTCAAACCATGATTAAATCTACTTCTTCTCAATTTGATAGACTCCAATGATACGGCCAGAAAAGTATTTAGTACTACTTCTGAATCATACCACAGTGATTAAATCTGTTCAAAAGGACTTGACATTGCAAATCAGCTTACATATATACCACACTATATTTGATCATCAAAAAAGTCCAACACCATCCTCAAATTGCTAGCATCCACTTCATAAGTATAGTATGACTTTTGATGCTCAATCCACAAACAGTCCACCATAAATGAAAAATCTATGGATCTTGTTCATACTGCACATTGAACAACTTGCCTCTCCAGCCAAATTTTCTTCCTTCTCTGCTATGATTCTTTTTAATATTGTGGGGTAACGACTTCTTCAACATCCTACCAGGCTAACACCTCTAATTATAGAATCTACAAATATACCGAATATGATTGAGACTAAGAAACTTCACAACTTTGTATATAAGCAATTTGTCAATCATAAAAAAGTAAGAGAAGGGTGTTAAAATAAGAAGAATAAAAAGGATTTCATTTGCATATGTTATGAGTTAAATTTGCACATTTCATTTAGCTGCAACTTTTATAACTCGTCTATTGTGTACCTCTTTTTATTTTGCAATAAAAAAAAAAAATTCCTACAAGGTACATGATTTTTTTTTTTCTTTCTTTTTTTAAATTTTTTTTTTTTTTTATTCTTCTCATTTTTAAAAACTACTCACAAGATCTCCTAATACACTGTTTTCCACATTATGAGATGAGATTACCTAGGACTATAGCTTCTTGCCACATATCTACCATGCTCTGCACTTATACGAATTATACAGCCATGGGGATCATTTCTATCATCGGAAACGCCAGCCCACCAGCCAACCTGAAATGAAACAAAAATTGAACTACATTTAATATTCATCAAATGTATTATCCTTAGTAACAGAGACGTGTGAAGAAATTTAATGCTACTGGGAGAACACACAAGTGGAAGGGAGGGTAACTAGATATAATTTACAAGCTCATGTTGAAGTAAGGTGCAGGAGCCCATACAGACACACATGCGCACAATAGATCACCTATTCCAAAGAAACCAAAAGCTCTATAGTAATGCAGTAACAGATTAATCCTTTTCCTTTTACTTACTAGTCCAGCACCAGCATTATCTCGTACAAATACAGCATCTTGGTAGCGCTCCTCCTCAATGGCATTCTGCAATCGAACAGTTATTCAGGCAACGTAACTAAGCGTAATAATATTCCAAATGAAAACTGTAGGACGAGAATGGAACCTTTAAATAACACATCACGCTTCCAACAGCATCTTTTGTCCCAGCAGCTGCAATGGCTACCTTGAGTCTTGCAGCAGCCTCATAATCCTCTTTCTCAATGGCATGTCTAAGTTGAGACTATAAAGACAAACAACAGGAATTGCTTAGAAAAACAAAAAGGTCAGACCAAAAATACCTTTTATTTCAATCCTTTTCTACCACATAAATTCATCCACCATTGGTAATTTGGCATCAAATTAGAAATTTCCATATAAACAGAGATATAAACACTAAAAATTAAATAAATAAAACAAAAACAAAAGGAAAAAAAAACTATATACACACAAAGGCCAGATTAATTAAAAAAAAGGTAAGAACCACCCTTCCAGCCTCCCTTTCTCTTCCCCTTCCTGTGCCTCAACAAACACTAAATATGAGTTTTGTCAAAGAGTTTGAACGTTGAATCTTTACCCTCTAACTAGTGAGAGTAGCTTTCACCTCCCATGATTGTATTGAGAATATTGTTATACATGATTGTATGTAAGACTCATCTAGGCCCATGATCTCTAAAAGAGTCAGCAATGCACCAAAAAAGCAGACAAACAAAAAAAATCAATAAACCCAACTTGAAAAACTTCTTAAGCATAAGCACATTCTGGGAACCAATATTCGTTCATTACTTCCATGCATAAGAACCAAAAATTCGTCCTTAGTTCCATGAATAAGCACAATCCAGAAACAAAAATTCGTCCTTAGTTCCATGCATAGCCACAATGCAGAAACAAAAAACCGTTCTTTACTTCCATGCATAAGCACAATCCAGGAACAAAAATTCGTACTTCACTTCCATGCATACGCACATTCTGGGAACAAATATCCAACCTTTACTTCCATGCATAAGTACAATCCGGGAACAAAAAAATCGTCCTTTGATCAACCAAAACTCAAAACCCAAACAATAACTCATTAAACAACCTACCAAGTAGTATTTAATGCCTGAAACAGGGCAATACATTCTTGAAATTATCTTAACAAAACAAATGAATGATCTTAAATATATATATATATTGAGGCACTACCAGGGTTGATTTTTTCCAGGGATATTGTCAATGGAACAGTAGAATATATGATCATGAGTTACATTCTAAAATTAGCAATTCTCTTTCGATTTAATCAGTATAATTTCACATAGTATTTCCAATTTGATAAAAAGATAACCAAACACACCTCAAATTCAAATTCAACTGAATTGTAACCTAGTAATAACAATTAAAATCAAAGCCTATCAATTAAATTCTAATACATAACGAAATTCAAATTAAGGCTAATAAAAACTGATTACCTTGAGTAGATTAATCAAACGTTCTTGTTCTTCAACCTCCTTAAAATGCAATGACCAGCGTTCCCAATCCCAACCATTAACATCAACCTCCAAATTACCACTTTCCTCCGATTTCTTCTCCCTAACCACCACTTCATCCTTCTTCGGCGAAAACCGCGAATTGACGAAATCCTCAACCGCCTGAGCAGCAGCAACGAGAAATTGCTGCAACGACGACGAAGGCGACGGCGAAGGAGAATCGGATGAACTACTGCGACAACAACAGAAAGAGGAATTCTGAGGTTTAGAAATGGAAATTGAGGGGATTAAATTAGGTTTTCTGAGAAATGGAGAATTGAAGGAGAAGGTAGCACAACTATGGAAGTTGAGATTAGAATCGGAGAAAATTGTAGGCGAAGTGAAGGGCGTCGGAGGAGAAATCGGAGACGCCATTAATGGAGGAGAGAGAAAATAAAAGAGGGTTTTAGGATTTAGGTTTGTGGATGAGAGAGAGAAAAAAGGAAGTGAGAAAGTAGAGGAAAAATTGAATGGACAAAAGGAAGTTTTCTTGGTGTTAATGATGTTGATGGATTGTTTAGAGGCTCAACCATTTTATGTTTAGGTGGTGCCATGGTGGTTACTAATATTGTGGATAAGGAGGAGGATATTTGTTAATTCTAATTTTTAGGTTTTTCGTCTCCGCCACCAAAATAACACTTTGCTCAAATATCCTCGTATTGGATTGCTTAATTTCTTGACATAATTAAGTTATGTTCAATTTATTTCCTCTTATGTCAAGAAAAAAAAAATGATGGATTACCGTTAATAAGTTTAAATAACCTAAATTTAAATATCGAATAATACTCCATACATTATTATTGAGTTTGAAATAAAGTATTTCTCTTAGAATGATAAGACAGTATCATGTAAAAAAAAAAAAAAGTTGTGTTGCCAATTTACCTTTGCTAAACTAGTCATATTTAGTTTAAAACAAACTTGGAGAACATTGTCTTTGAAGATCTCTCTATACGTACTTGTGAATTCTTTGTCCCTTAATTAATCACCAACCCAATTTCCCTAAAAAAAGGTTTTATACAGTGGTTACTACATAATTCATATAAGCATAATTACGGAGTATATTCAAACAAGTAAAAACCAAGTGAATATAATTTACATTTTTGTGTATGATGTTTTGAGAGTTTGAGGCGACTAGACTATCCTTGAACTATTAGCTTTTAAAAGCAACATCACCAATGTGAAGTAATTCTCTACTTCTAATGGCTTGAATCATTAATGATTTTAATAACACACAACATTAAATTGTGCTTAGATAATATTCCATATTCTGTATCATTCAATTAAAAACATTTTGCGTTATTTTTAGAGTTTGTTCTGAACTTCCGATTTACTGAAAACAGCTAAACTGAATTGAACTAAGCTAAAATGAATAGTTTATGAGAAAAGAAAATTAGGAATTGAACTGAATTGATTGAAGCTAAACTAGACCGAACTGAAATTTAGCTGAACCGAACTGAAATTAAGCTGAACCGAATTGACCCTTACTCATGAATTAATATTTTAATATCATGAACATTTAAACACAATTTACTACTCATACCAACAAGAAGTAATGAGTTAATGACTCGCGTTATTAGAGGCTACTCATAGAAAGTTTATTGCCAACATGTTGTGCAGCTATTTCTATTGAATAGCAATACGGCGTCGTCTAGTTTCTCCTACTCTTCTTCCCAAAATCCCAGCCGTAGGGTTTAACACTTGAACTCTCTTTCTTTCTTCAGTCTGCACAAAACCCCTCTAATGGTGTCATAAATTAATCAAGGTGAAAACTCTACCAAACCCATCAAAATCACAACTTTTCTCTGTTTCTTCAAGGTTTGATAACTTAACCCTCACTAAATTTCAATTTCCCAACTATTTTATAGTTAATTTCAAGCTTCATATACATGTTAAATTCACTTTTATTTCTGGGTTTATGGTTATTTTATCTTAATCATACATTTACTTTTCTCTGCTATGCGTTTTTGTGCAACTCATACATTATCCCATTTACGCAACTTCCCAAAAAGGTTCGGCCTTTTTCACCATTATTACTATGTAAATCATTCTGTTTCATGTGTTCTTCAAAGTTCTGATGCTAGTGATGATAATGTTAGTGATGGTTCTAGTTCTAGTCATTATTGTGATTATAATGTTGTATATAGAGAAATGAGGGATTATGCTAAGATGGGTTGTGTTCAAAAGGCACTAGAGAGTCTCAATTCAATGGGGTATGTTGAGGGGAGGCCGTTGGTTTATGATTATAATGCTTTGATTTATAGTTATTTGAAATCTCGAAATGTGGTTTTTGATGAATTGGGTCGAATCTATATGCATATGAAGGTATCCGGGTTGTGCCCAAATGCATTGACATATGTTGGCCTCTTTAATGGAATGTTATTGTTGAATTGTTTGTCGGATGCGTTGTTTATCATTGGGGAGATGCTTAGGAGTGGGTATGCGCCGTCGTTTGCTTCTCTATCGCGGTTGTTGAAAAGATCATTGAGAGGGGAGGATTTATTGGGTTCGAGGTATGTTATAGAGTTGATGCTGGCACTGGACTACTTGCCGACACATCTGTCATTGAGTAGGTTGATTTTGAAGCTTTGTAAAGTGGGCAAGATACATGAGGCTTATAGAGTTTTGAGTGGTTTGCTATGTAAAGGTCATTTTTGCACTCCGCTTGTATATAATCCAATTTTGTGGGGTTTATGTAAATGTAACCAGAGTTCTATCGCATTGTCGTTGTTGTTTTCTTTGAATAAGAGAGGATTTTTACATAATGTGTGCTCATACACAGCATTGGTATACGGGCTGGGTAAGGAAAAGATGTGGAATGGAGTTTTCCAGGTGTTAAGGGAAATGGAAATTGCTGGGTGTAAACCAAATTTAATTACATACACTGTCTTAATTAAGTATCTATGTGAGGATGGGAGGATTCAGGAGGCTTTTGTCATTCTTGCAAATATGGAAAAAGAAGAATGCTACCCGGATTTGGTGACATTTAACATCATTCTTCGTGAGCTCTCTCATCAAGACAGGGCAGTTGAAATTAGTGAGCTGATGTCTCTGATGGATCAGAGGGGCTTATCTCCCGATCCATACACTTTAACTGCACTGGCTGCTGGCATGTTGAAGAAAGGAAAGCTAGGAAATGCTAGTAATTTTTTGCTTGATGTTATTTCACGAGGGTACAATGTGGATATTGCTGTGTATAACATGTATCTACACTCCTTGTGCTTAGAGAGTGGATACATAGAAGCTTTATCCGTGACAAAGAGCATGGCTAGTAAAGGTTTCACACCGGACACCACTTCATACAACACAATTCTGAAAGGAATATGTTCTGAAGGCAATTTTGATGATGCACTCAAGTTCCTAGACAGGTTAAACTTAGCTACTGATGGGCCTGACATAATTTCTTTTAACACAATTTTGTCTGGAGCATGCAAACTAGGGAATTCTTCTATCATTCACAAGCTTTTGGATTGCATGGAAGATAAAAAAATAGAGCTTAATGTTGTAAGCATGACTTGTTTGATTAAATATTTCTGCAGAGTTGGAAAAATCTTTGAGTGCTTTAAATTGTTGGAGAAGATGCTGGGTGCTGGTCCTACTCCAAACGTTCTAACTTTTAATGCAGTCATTGATGGTTTATGCAAGAACCACTTGCTCGGGACAGCTTGTAAAGTTCTTAAACAGTATAAAAACTCTGGAGAATTTCCTAATACGAGTACATATGATATTCTTATACATACAGCCTTGAGTGCTAAAGAATATGCGATGGCTGAGGATTTAATCACTGATTTGTACTCCCAGGGATTGGAACCTAGTGCGGTCGCTTATAAATCCTTGGTTAGTGCCATATGCAAAGATGGGAATATATGCGCTGCTCTTGAGCTTTGTAACCGAATGCTTGCTGATGGACGCAAGCCTTCAGTTGACATCTACAATGTGATTTTGAAGGCAATGCTTCGGAAAAGGATGCTTAAGGATGCTTTTTTGTTACTAAAGGACATGGTAATAAATGGTTGTGAACTTGATGACATGTCACATGCTATTCTGAAGCAAGCACTCTCAGAGGATGCTGATAAGAAACAATTTCAGGCCAAAAATCTACCGGATTATATAGTGGTGTAACTGTATAAGAGAGTTGCAACTTTATATAGTATTATGCAGAGTGGTCTGAAGTGTCAGCTTTCTCCGCTTACCCTCCTCGCTCTCCAGAGTAACATATGTAAATCTGAAGCAAACACTTGCAGGGGATGCGGAGGAGAATCATTTTCAGGCCAAAATCTCCTGGAGTATGTAGCGACGTAAATGTACAAGAGAGATGCATTTATATAGTATTATGCTGGGTGGTCTGAAGTCTCAGTCTTCTCCACTTACGCTCCTCACTCTTCAGAGTAACATAGTGTAATCCAGGTAACCAGAAGTATCATTATGTATATTTAATTTTGCCGTGTGAACTAATTTTGTCTATAATGTTTGCTCGTCAATAATATAGGCACATTATGTTTGCAATTACGTTAAGACTTGACTTGTAATGAATGTGACTACATATGATGGATAGAGGTAATTGATCTATTCTAGCAACAAAGGCATTAAGATTTAAGATGATGCAGACCTAAAATTGGGAATCAGGTACCCCTGAATTTAAGCCTGTCCTTCAGTTCTCGAATCCCTTATCCTTGACCCAGACATCACCTGAGTTACCTATTCCGAGTACATATTATTACATTAAATTGTGCACCGACTCCTGGTTGTTGAGATTTATCCCTCTAGACTGAAAACGCATATGTGAGTGCTTCACTGCTTCTTGATCTCACAGTAGTCAACTAATCCTAGATTATATAACTAGTGCCATCCCTTATCAAGTTCATTACCAGCTCTTTCAGTTAGTGTTCCCATCTTACAGCTTCAGGTGACATCCACACATTCCCAACCACAGTCTTGGGTTTCGGTGCAGCATGTAGGATTTGTGTGTCCAATATGAGTTCTATCTGAAAGTTTTTTTTTCTTTCTTATTTCCTAGCTAGAATAAAAATTGAGGTTAGCTCAAATCATTTTAGATATAAGGCTAATAAGTTCAGATTAGTTCAATGTGGAACTTGTAAATTCGGTCCACAGCTAAAAACAAGTTCAGTCTTTTAATTTTTTTATTTTAATCTTATTTGAACTGTTAAATCCAAAACCTTTTTTTGTTTAAGGTGGTAGATTAGGAGCTCAAAGAAAGTCAAGAAACTATCACTGTATTTATAAATAAATAAATAAATAAAAAATTTAAAAAAAAAACCAACTATCACTGTATGTGTTATGACAATTTTTTAAGAGCTAATATTAACTGTTCTTGTGGGAACGATGCAATTGTGAGGACTGTTAAAAATGGTCCAAATATGAGGATGAGGTTTTACGGATGTCCGTTGTGGCCTGTAAGTAATTTCAGTTAGGGTGGTTGATTATTTCTTAAGTGTTTGGCACATATCCTAGTTTTTTTTTTTTTTTTTTTTTTTTTTTTTTTTTTTGAACAAGATA